TTTTTTTTACCTACTAAGAAGTTGTCTCAAATTATTCTTGTTTGTATTTGTTTCATATATCCTTTACTATCCTTTTATATCAATCAATTCTGAATCCTTTTGTTCTAAAAGTTTCTTTTAAAAAAAACATGGGGCTGGGGTTGTAGCTCAGTGGTTGCCTAGCATGTGTGAGGCACTGGATTTGATCCTCAGCACCACATAAAAATATTAATCAATAAAATAAAGTTATAAAAAAACAAAAACTAAAAGAAACATTGCTGGATCCTTTTGAAAATCAATAATCTTGATTTTTAATTGATGACTTTAATTTAGTTATTTTAAAGCTATATAGAAATATATTACTGCCATTATATTTCTCATGGTCCATTTATTATACATTTTTTATTTCTTTAGTTCCTCTGTTGCATTAAAGAGAACAGATTATATGGCTAGTTTAAAAGTTATTTGTTATTGTTTATTTTTTGTGGTGATTGCCTTAATTTTAACAAGCCCCATCCCTATGTTTATTTATTCCCATTAGTCACAAATATAATGAATATCCATATACACACTACACAGCTTAGAAATTAAAACTTTTGGAAACAAAACCTTGGTAGAACTCAACCTGTATATCTCTTTTCATGATATTTCCTTTCCATCCCCTCAAAGGTAATCCCTCTTTTAAATGTGATGTGTATCACCCCTATACATGACATGATTATTTTTACCACATGTATATTTATCCATACATTATGTAAAGTGCTGTTATGCGTATTTCAAGCTCAAAACAAATGGTATAACCTGGTATGTGTCCTTTGCAACTAACTTTATTTTGTACTCAGTGTTGTATGGTTTCTACAAATTGATATACATATTTATGTTAATGCAGTATAGTGTATTATATATGTGCATTATATGAGTAAACCATAATGAATTTGTCTAAAGTGTATATTTTTCAGTATCAGTAGCAGGAGGCTGGAATAGAGATAAAATGAATATCCTTTGGGATGATTTAAGAAGACCTAACGAAAATGGTTACTAAGATGAATTAGTAAAAGGAACCAAGTAAATTTTGCCAAGTTAGCCATTCAGCAAATTAATCTAGAGACAAAATCTTAATAAGATGAAAAACAAGCTATGGTAGCAAAAATAATTCCATTCTGTAATGCCCCCTCTATCAATCTGCTCAGGATGCCATAACAGAATACCACAGACTAGCCAGCTTAGAACAGAAATGTATATTCTCACAGTTCTGGAGGCTGAAGTCCAAAATCAAGGTGCTATTTGAATTGGTGTCTTGGCTTGCAGTTTCAGCCTTCTCACTGTGTCCTCACCTGGCCTCTTCTCTTTGTATGCATGGACAGTGACAGAGAGCTTTCTCTTCTTATGAGGACACCATTCCTGTCAGGTTAGGGTCCTACCTTTATTACCTCATTTAACCCTAATTACCTCCTCAAAGGCTCTGTCTCTAAATACAGTCACATTGGGTGTTAGGCCTTCAATGTATGAACCTGAGAGACAGAGAATTTGGTGTAGAATTGCCCCAAATCTTATAAATTATTTAACAATTGCCATGGCAACACTACACCAAAGCAATCTCAATGTCAATGGCTTAATTATATTTACAAATATTTATTTTTCTTGCTCATGTGAATTTTGGGTAGGTATCAAACCTAGAGATCTCTCTGCCTGTCTTTATGTTTGCTGCATGGGAAGAAAAAGAAAACCTCGTCATAATTAATCAAGAGAAGGAAGAGTTGGGTCAGAGACATGTCTAAATAAAGAAATAGTCTGTGTGAAGGCCTTGTGGCAGGAAACAGAATTATTGCCAAAGTGGCAACCATTGAAGCCTTCAGAGAGTTGAGGGATTCACTATCCAAGTGACTACTGGGGATTTAGGGTATTGGGCAATTCAGACTGAAGAAAATCAGGCCCAGAGAGAACCTGAGAGTTGACTGCAAACATAAAAGGGAAGATTTAATTTCATTCATTCACTCACTCATTCATTCAATAAATACTTACCAAGTGCTAACTTGTGCCAGGCAAACTGTTCTGTGTATAGCAATTAATGAAATGGCCATATCCCTGCCCATTGTGAAACTTACATTTATGATAAAGGATACAAACAATTAACAAAATAAATAGGGAAAATGTACAGTATGGAGAAGGTAATAAATGGTAAAAAGAATAAAATAAAGAAGAGGGTTAGGTTGTACTTGTATGGGTGTAGTACATTCAGAAAGGATGGCCAGGGTAGGTGACATATGAGTAAAGGTCAGGTGCAGATGGGGACCATCAGGTGAGAGTGTTCCACACAGCGATGCTTGGAAGTGCAAAGACTTGCCATGGTTGAGGCTGAAGAAAAGTAAGAAAGCCAGTGCGTGAGAAAATAGGAGATGAGGCCAAACATGGATTGTGAGTGGGGAGAGATCAAGTCAGCTTTCTCTTGAGGCAATACAATGCCTCAAGAGTTTATTCAGTGATATGGGGAGTTACTGAAGTGTTTTGAACCCATGAGAGACGGGTTTTTTACAGAGACATGTGGGCTACCGTGTTGAATACAGACTGGAGGGGGTCACGCAAGGAACATAATTCTCTGTGATACTGAGAAAATAATTAGAGTCAGTGGTATAAAAGGCTGACTAACTAACTAACCCTATTAACTGACTGTCTACCAGTGAAACCACCATGTCACCTTAGAATTATACCAGATGCCAGGGATATTGACAGTGGGAACTTACTTCATTGAATAAGGCATGAGACTCCATTACATTCCAGAGTCCTCCTCATATGGAGAGACCAGGATTCTGCAGCATGTATCCTCTCAATCTACCCCGACTAGAATGTAAGCTCTATGAGAGCAAGGAGTTTGGTCTCATCTGTTCATTGCTCAGTTCCCAGTGCCTAGAATAATGCTAGCATATGGCAGGTGCACAATAAGTATCTGTTAAACTTATTACAGGACCTTAAGCAAGATACTCTTCTGTACCTCACAGAATAAAAAACTGGACTGAATGGCATTGGTGATCTTTCTAGGTGGGCCATTGTGATCCCCATTTTGAACTTGGAGCTATCCTTTCTAAAGTGCTTTGCAGGCTAAGTGGTGCATGAAGGGGCTCTTCTGAGCATGAAAGACAAAGATGGGTCCAGGGAAACCTTGAGATAAGAGAAAGTACATGGATAACCTCTGAGGCTGTTCTCTTTGATATGCACAGGGTTATAATTTGAATAATGGATGTTTCACTCAAAACTGAGGGTACATGACTGAGAAGCCAACCCAAGCATGTTGCCTTTGCTTCAGGGAAGTCAGCCTGGTCAACAATGTATTCACAGGCCCCTGAAGCTTTCCTGGGAACAATAGCATAAAAAGCAGCAGAAATTTCATTTAAGGGTATCGAAAATACATTTTTTTAAATTTTGATGAAGTTCACGACAACACTGACATTTCTTTAAACAAATAGTTCCATCAAGGCATAACATTACCAGGTGTCCCCAAATGCCCAAGAGGCAGTGATTTTATGTCCCCCGAGGTTTAACAGAGCTTCCACATCAACAGAATGTCTGATGAGGACCAGATTTGCTATCAGATAAGCCAATGAGACATACTGTCATGTTTATTAGATACAGAATCAAATATAAAAATGATGTACAATAGATAATTGCAATGAGCTTATTCTGCACTCAGCTTTAGTTTCTTTCAAATGAAGAAGGTAGTTTTCCATATCAAGAAGGATGCAAATATGTATATCTTCCATGGCAACTTTTTTATACATTGCTTTCATTACACATTAAAAGAAGTGGAGTTTAGCTTCATTGTGACCTACAAGAAATAAAAAAATACCTAGAGTTTAGTTATTAATTGTCAGGCTCTTGACATTTATTATTTCATCTGCTCTTTATATTAATATTAACAGGTAGGTTCTATTAAACCCTCAATTTACTCTTTCTGAGGCTCAGAGAGAGTCAGTGACTGGCTCATGATCCTATAGCTAATAGAGGGCAACAGTTTTTGAACTCAAGACTCAGCTCTTAATTCAGAAGTACAAGGCATTTTAGTATAAGCTCCAAAAGGATAATGTCTTTACCTTTCAAACTCAAAGGCTAGAGTAAGCACAATTTTAACGGCATATAAGCAGGATGTGTATTCCTGGCATAATGATCTCAGTGTCACAAAGAAAGAATAGAAAAGCAGAAGATGGACTCAGTAGTGTTTCAGCTATTGGGTCTTGGTGTTCTTTCTCCAGACACTGATGTGGGCAACTTCCCTTGTGGATTTTTTTCAGTGATATGGGCCCAAGGAGCCTAGCAGTATGGAATACATCCTTGAAATACATGGTTATCCATCCTCCCACCTGACAGTATGAGGTAGTCACCTTCTTCCTGGGTCCATTCAAAACTGCTCAATCCCGAAGTTCTCTGCGGCGCCGGCCAAAGGCTTTGGAACCCACATCAGTGGGCACAAAGTTGTCCTTTACCACACCCCCTGATCTGCTCAGCAATCCTGCCAGCCGCTGGCTCACACAGGTGGCAGTGTTGCAGGCTCTCTTCTGGGCAGTGACACTGGTTTGCAGAATGGAGAAAGGAAAGAAGGCCTGTGAGTGAGGGCTGGGGGAGGAACCCACCCCATGGGACCATCATAGTAAAGTTGCTGCTCTGAGATGCATCAATTAACCTAAAGTGTTTCTCCTAAACATAATTATCAGAGCAGAAAATCACAAGGCCATTAGGGAAAATGCCATGATCACTCCCCTTAGACGTTCCCAGGAGTGTCAGAAAACCCGAAGGTGACTAAGGGTGACTGGTCATGGAGCACAGGGCTGTAACAGGCAATCTTTCCTGTACAAATAGACTAAAAATCAGCAAAGGTTTATGAGACTAGAGTGAATTATAGTGTCATATCCAAGGCTATTCACTAGGACTGTAGAATTCATTTCACAGTTACCAGCACAAAATATCCCTTCTTAGGAAAATGAAAATACTCTGGTCTTACCTGGAAGAAGAGAAGAGGTTGTGGCATCCAGTCCTACAGGTGCTTACCTGCTCCTTAGTGCCCTTGTTCTTGCTGCTTGAGATGAGTTACAGTAACCAATCACCACACCCTGTGTCCAGTTACCCCAGGGCTAAGACTACTTCTAAGCACAGGTCCTAAACACCATGGCACCTGAGATGCAGGCTAGAGCAATGACCACCACAGCTCAAGTCTTTTTAGAAAAATATTTTTATTTCCCAAATGATCCGCACATTCAGAAGCAGGACTGAAAAGTTTTGCTATGAAATCACCAGGGCCCTCAGAGAACTGCCCCTGCTCTGATATCTTCTTGGTTGATTCTTTTCCAGATTGTGAGTTCTCCCTTCTCTCTGCCCACCCGAGGTTCCAGACATCCTCTGCCATAGAAAAGCTACCATTAACAGCCTGAAGAGCAAGCAGAGAAGAACCACATGCATCAAGTTATAGGAATAAAGCAAGAAAGAAAGTTATAAAGGAGAAGGGGAGTTCAGATGGCATCCTGGGGCATGCCAACATGAGGGCGGTGCTCTGTCTCCAAGTCGCTGGTCATATCCCTTTTCTTGCCAGGTGCTCCAACCCCAATTGCAGTTTGGGGGAATGTGTGAAACTTGTTGAGGTCCTGCGTGTACGTGCCCAGCATGCAGGTACTCAGATTACCACACCGCTTAGATCTGGGGCTGTCCAGGCTGCAGGGAAAAGACATGCCAGACAGTACCATGCACCAGGGGCAGCCCCCGTGGGCAGTCAACAGAAGGCTAGACCAGACAGGGGAACCATGAGGTGGGAAGGAGATGCAGGCAGGAAGGTAGCTCATTCCTCTATTAGGAGGGCTCAGAGGTGCAGTGGGCCAGGGCAGTGGTAAGGAAGGGTGACTTTTTCTGGCATTCCACATGCTGTGCAGATCTTCATGCTTGACAGGGGGATTATCAGGGTGGATGCAGGTTAACACATTCCTCTGCTCAGTCAGTGCAAGGGGCTAGGCAAGGGCCGATTTCTTTTCTAGGCTTAGGGTGCACAGGGAGTTGGGGCTGGGAAAGGGTGCTCTTACTGGCCCTGTGACAACATGCATATCTCCACAGATGCCTTAGGCCTACCTCAGACACTGCTCTATCTGTCCCCACCCCCTGCAAATGCTTTGCCTTCCCCTGGCAAATATAAAATGAAGGCTCCTGGTGGGTGTGAAAGAACATCATATGCAGATTAACTAGGCCAAATTGAATTTCTAAAATCTCCTGAAATATACCAGGTCCATCCTTGGCTCCAGGCTTTATCCTTACCAGTCTTAACTCATCCTATGCTGAAAGGTCTTCCTAGGATCACAAGATAAATTCATATAGTTAAGCGATTCCATACCTTGTCTACTTTCAGAAATGGATCTTTTAAATATGACATAACCACAGTCTCTCCAGCTGACCACTATCTTTAGCTGAGCCTGAGAACAGTCCCAGGTCCTGCTGAACACAGACTTCTGGATTTAGACCATTATGTTCTCTCCTACCTCTTGGGATTCACCTTTCTGGATATGTCTGGGGTGGTGGAGAGGCCCTGTGCTTGCCAGGTGGGGAGGCTTACCTGGAGTCCTCTGTCTCCTGCTCTCGCTGCAGCTCACTGGCCTTCATCTGCAAATAGTCCTGCACCAGTGCAGCCAGCAGGAGGCGTGCTTCCTCTTCACTGAGTGTGGTCAGGTCTGGGCTGCTCTCCAAGGTGGAACTGCAGAGGGGAAGCAAACCTAGTGCAGGTTCTGAACCCTTGCCTGCCTCCTCCCGGGAATAAGCAGCCAGGCTTCCGGTTCTCTGATTCTTCCCCCTAAGAATGCAGCTGCTCCAACTCCCAAATGAACAGGGGTTGAAGCCACTGTCTTCATCAGGAGTCAGGCAGTGGTGTGGCCTCCTCCCAGTGGTGTACTGGAGCCAGTTCATAAAAGTTTAAGACAGGTGATGGTTAAATTTTCAGGAATTTTGTGCACTAAGTGTTAATGCAGCTAGTTAATAATGATCATTTAATAATGACCGAATAACTTAAAACCAGCTTTCTGGAGGAAATTTATGTATGTATTTATGTATGTATACTTTTTCTGGTATAAAAATGTGTACCATATAATTTTTAAATAGTAATAAGATGTATAATACTTTATACATACATATGAGAACATATTTTTATATATATTTTCCCCAGAGAGGAACATTTAGTATACCACAATAAAAAAAACAAGGATTTGTTTGATTCCAGGAGAAGTAGGAGGGGAGTAGAGCTGTGTCCTCAGGCTGTCTTACCTGAATGGCACTGCATGGAGGCTGCCTGCCTGGTACAGGACCAAAATGCTGAGAGCCAGGATCGGGAAGAACTTCTGGAAGCCCATGACGACTCCCTGCAAGGAAAGAATGAGGTCATCAGTTCCACCAATTCAAAGTTCCACCAATTCAAAGTTCTGTGAGCCCACAGACCTGGTTCCTGTCTTCTTCTAAGCAGAAGACCTGGTTCCTGTCTTCTTCTCAACTCCTTGGTTGCATTGCTTCAGGCTGGTCACTATATTTCACTTCATCTTTGTTTACTCATCAATCAAGTCAACTGCTGAGAGGTCTAGTGGGCATGTGGCAGGGTTTGGCAAGCTGGAGAAGGAATTTTAGCTGCAGGACATATGGGTGGGGAGGCCTCAGACCTATCCACCTTTCCCAAATGCTGCTCACAGGCACATACACCTGTTGGCTAAGTCTGGCGTGTACTCTAGGAGGGGCTCTGCCACACAGCTGTTCCCATAACAAGACCCAGAACTGTCTTGGGGTATAGGGCTTTTGTACATACCCGGAGATAGGGAGGGAGAGAATAAGTAGAGAGGTAATATCTCTGCAGTTGCAATCTGAGACATTGAACCATTTCTAGTGCTCAGCTGCTCCTCCCTCTGGCAACTCTGTTGCCTGCAAGAACCAAGCTTAACAGAGTCTTAAAGTTGGGACCCAAGACATCTCTTGGCACTCCCAGAACCTGCCACTGGGGCTTGCAGTTTAGGGCTGCTGCCATTCCATTCCGTAGTTGAGCCCATTTGCCCCGGATTCGGATTCGCTCTGGCCCAGGCTCTGAACCAATTTCCCAAGAACGCTACGCATTAGAAGTGATCACCGAACGCACCATCTACCGAAAGCTACTGCTGCATCCTGCTGCTTGCGCGGTGCCTGGTGAGCCCAAGTGTCCCAAGATTTAGCATATCATACGTGCAGTGGGACAATGTGAAACCGGAGCCGGCAATCACGCAGGGAGAGAGGAACAAAGAGCTCCCGGTCTGACACTGTCCAGTCCTACTGGGCCAGAACCTGGAATAAATCGCGGACTAACAGACTGTTTAACCAAGAGACCCAGACAGAAGTGGACGGAGATCCGAGATTGGCAGGGAGATAAACTAGACAGACTAATGCCGACAGAGGGGAGGAAGAAGAGAGGGGAGGGAGAGATACAATAACCACCTGAGCAGGAATCTCGCGGCTCACCTGGAAGGCAGTGACTTGGAGCAGAGAGGGCTGCGGTGTCGTCCAGCTAGCGCCCCGCGGAAGTTGCAGCCACACTTGGGCTGGGCAGTGGCTCCAGTAGCTCCCAGCGCCAGCGGCTGCTCTTATTCCCGCCGCGGTGGGTCGGGAGGGGTCCCTGAGGGCCAGGCAGCCAATGGGCGGAGGGGTCCAGTGCCCCAGCCAATTGCGTCACCCCCATGCTTCCAACCTGGAGCATCCAGTATGACGGTCCTACTTTTATTTGCATTGAGGTCACTGATAGAAGTAGGGGGATGGTGGAAATGAACGAGAAACGTCCTTAAAGTGAGCGGGAATTTGAGGGCAGTTTGACGTCATGATAGATTTCACTTCTTAATTTCCTCCTGGCTTTGAACTTCCGCCCACTCCAACCCCAGTTGTGAGATTTTAGAAGGAAGAGTGCAGGACTGCAGGGACTCCTGGCTTACATAATTCTGATCCTAGACCCCTGCCCAAGCAGAGCCTGGAGGATTAACGGGCGTCAGGATGGATTCTCTGCCCAAGAAGAACCCAACTCTGCAGGTGGTATCACCCACAGAGGGAGAAAACTCATGGGAAGCAGAGATAGCTGGGAAAATGAACTTTTTGGGATCTGAGCTCAATTCCAGATGCACCATTCCAGACTCTGATCATGGGCAAGTAACTTTTCAGAGTCTCAATGTACTCATCTTTGAAATGGGAACCATAGTCTCATCTTGAAGAAATTTTGTGAAAAGTAGCCCACTGCCCAACCTCTACTTGTCAGAGATCCAGAAGCTTCCTAGTCTACCTAGGGGATTCAGAAAGATCTCTATTGATAGTTTCCGAATTCTTACCTTGTGGGGCTGCCCTGACTCACTTTAGTCTGTCCCAGGGTACTGTTCAGATTCATCACGTGAGGACTCCCATACCCAACTGGGTCTGAGGGGAGAGGTGCAAGCGACAGATGCTCCCAAAGCCTCCATCCAGACATCCAGCCTTCCCTCTTCCTACCCTGCCATCCATCACTTCTCATTAATCCGCCTGTCTGAGCCATTTGCACAGCTGCCCCTTTGCTTCCGGAGGCTGCTGTTTGCTGAGATGTCCCAGTGGCATTTGATTCCGGCCCCGCACCCCACTCCACCCGCAATAAAGTCCTTATTGCGGAGGAATAAAGAGCAGGGGGGCTTGAGTGCTTTGGAGTCTTTGCCAATACTACTTCTCATTCTCTCTCTCTCTCTCTCTCTCTCTCTCTCTCTCTCTCTCTCTCTCTCACACACACACACACACACACACACACACAATTTCTAAGTCTCCAAATACGTGCACACTCTGGAAAGTAACACTACTTAAAATAGACACCGGCTTTCTGAGGCAACCTTAGGGGTTCACTCTCAAATGTGTCCTAAGTCTGCCTAAGTCTCAGATGCAGTCGCATTTACACACCGGTAGGATTATGGTCTGCTTCTACCATATCCGCAAACACTCCCAAGAACTGGCGCGCATCATCGCACGCAATTAGGATTGACTTCTATTCCCGGGGATTTCAAGGTCTGGGCGCTCAGCGAGAAATACGCAGCAGCCGGTGAAGACGCTGCCAATGCTGTGATACAGCATCTGGAGACTAGGCTCGGGAGGGTGGGAAGACCGGGAACGCAAGGACCCAGGGTTCTTGTATTTTCCCATGCAGAGCAGAAATTAGCCCCCAAGGTTGCTCGAATGGCCCCAGGCATCTAACCCGAGTTAGATGACCATCGCACACCCGTTCTTAGTCCCCAGAAGCTTCTGCATTTCCTAGGGCACACTTGTCTCGCGCCACATTTTCTTTGCCTTCGCATGTTTGTGGCTTCCGTGCTCAAGAAGACATCTGGAACCCCTAACTTCCAAGATGCTCTTCCTTAACTTTTGGGGCAGCACTACTGTGAGAGAATAAAAACTCAGTGCTGGGACCCGGTGTCTGAGATTCCCTTTCCGCAGGGCTCTCCCGTTGGGCGGCGGCGAGACCCGGGAAAGGAAGAACTGGTCCGGCAGGACGCCAGCGCGAGTCCGGCACAGAGCCAGGAAACGCGGACAGCACGCTAGGCAGGGCTTAGGGTGGCGGGTCACTAGGCACCGAGAGCGCAGGAGTCTGGAGGCAGACACACACTCCTGAGACCCAGTTCTTGGCTTCGGGCTTTTCAGCAGTTTAGTTCCGAGCCCTGGCCTGGGTTTCCTGGCCGAGCTTAGTGACTAATTGGCGAAGGCCGAGGTGCCACTACATGGCGCGCAGCGCTTGGGCCACTGCCACTCCCGGCTGTTGTGGAAACGCACTTGCGCTCAGGTGCCAAATACTTCTGCGGAAATGACTTCCTTTTTAAAATTCCAGATATTTCTAAGATATGAACTTCCTGAAATCCTTTGTAAGGATGTGTGTCCTTGACGTGCATTTTCCAAGGGTGACCGCAAAACGGTTAAGAAATGACTACTCTGGAAGCGGATTTCCTGATCATGTCACTTTGCGGGTTCGCAACGCTGTCTCTGGCTGCAGTATGTAACTTCAGCGTTCAGAACAGACACTAATTCCTCACTATGAAATCTTTGACAGGGACAAATCACAGGTGATTCCAGAGGGCGCTGGAGTAGCCTTCAGCAAAAGGAGGGGCAGACATTATCCGTCAATCACAGTGCCCAGCACTGTGCTGGTGGCCAAAGGTTTAAAACAAACAACAACAGCAAAAGTTATTTTCCTCTGCAATTAGCAACATGCCAGGGACACCAGTAGACACTCCACCAATGTTAAATGAATGAAAATTAATTCATTCTGGCAAATTCGCCAGTCTCTAAAGGTAATTTACAAAAAAAAATCTGGATGGAGATACAGCTGCATTCCTCTGGGTCTGAAGTTGGGAGCGCAAACTGTTCAGCTAGATTTCTCCCAGGCACAATTGGTTCCCTGATGGAAGTGTCCAGGACTGAGGCAAGGGTTTCTGATAGGGTTCCTTCTAAAGACTAAAGTCTCCTGGTGCTGAAGGCAAACCCATTCTCTTGAGAGCCCACCCTGAATGCAGCGTGAACCTAAGAAAGTTTACAACTTTGAGTGGGTGAATCTCTTAGATTTCAACGGGCTATCCCTGGAACTTCTCTTGAATTTAGTACTGAACAGCATGATATAGCAAAAGTTGCTAAGGAAAATGCTGACTTTAAAATAGCGACGTCACTATTTAGCCCTTGATTTTACTGTCTTATTTCATAGCTTAAAATCTGGAGATCAGGGTCAGTTTTGAAACAAACCAGATTAGAAAACAACACTGTGATAAATTCCAACTGTAATGTTTATTCCCATTTGTTTAAATCAAATTCTGTACGGTATTTTATTTTATTTTTGAATCAGGGATTCAAAATCCAGAGGTGCTTAACCACTGAGTCACATCCCCAGGCCTTTTTTAATTTTTAATTTTGAAACAGGGTCTCACTAATTTGCTGAGGCTGGCTTTCACTGTAAGATCTCCTGCTTTGGCCTCCTGAGCTGCTGGGATTACAGGTGTGCACCACCATACCCAGCTCCTTGTATGCTTTGATTTAGAAATAAAAATAGACTAAATCTGGCTGGAACTTCTTATGTCAATTTCCATGTGATTAAAAGGTTTGCTCCTGAAAGATAACTGTTAATTAAACAAACAGTTGTAAGGCAAACAAACAACCTAAAAGAACAAAAAAGCACTTTCAAAGTTCAGAACTCAAGTTAAATTTATTGCTTCTGTACACTTATGTATGATGCAGAGCTAACAAGAAGAAAATCACAACAATATCAATTGCAGCAGCAACAATGACAATAGTATTGGAATCTAAACTCTTTCTCTTCAGCTTGTCAGAAAATTGGAGCTATCAAATGAACAGGAGAAGATCTACTGAAAATTGATTTTACTGGTTAGAGAAGGGCAGAAACCAAAGCTTTCCATCCTCGAGTTTACTGAAGAGAACATAGGAAGAAAAGTGATCGCTTCTGAATCATTTTCCTAAGACATGTTTAGAATGTAATAAAGCCCCTGTTAGGGGAGGAAGGGCAAAAATGGCTGTCAAGGTGACTGCCAGATTCACAATAACGAAGATATGGAAACAACCTCAGTGATGGATAAATAGAGAAAGAAAATGTGGTGCATGTATATACACAATGGAATATTATTCAGTCTTATAAAAACAAGAACTCCTGTCATTTGAAACTATATGCTTACTGTTGGGAGTATGCATTACTCTCAATGATAGCATTACTGTATTTTCTTTTTTTTTATTTAAATTTTTTTAAGTTGTTAATGGACCTTTATCTTATTTGTTTGTTTATTTATATGTGGTGCTGAGAATTGAACCCAGTGCCTCACACATGCCAGGTAGGCACTCTACCACTGAGCTACAACTCCAGCCCCACTACTGTATTTACTACTGGAGGATATATCTATGTTCAGTGAAATAAGTCAGGCACAAAATGATAAATACTGCATTATCAAACTTATATGTGCTATCTTAAAAAGATGGAGTTCATTGCCGCAGTCTGGCTGGGCACAAAATAACCGAGCCACCACAAAAGCCTTGTAGATTCAAACAGCAACTCTTTATTCCCGAACTCTCACCGGCACTCTACACGCATGTTCTGGGAAAAATACACTGCCTCCACTGGGCTCTGCTTACCAATACTCTCAGAACCCCACGAGAACTCAACCGGAACTCAAGGAGCCGGCGCCTGAGGCAGCAGGATACGCCCTATTCCCAGCAGGATCCACCCTAAACCCGGAGCCACCCTAATCCAGCAGGATCCACCCTAAACCTGGAGCCACCCTAATCCCTGAGCAGGGTCACCTTTCAACCAAAAATGCCATGCATCCTACTTGGCTATGGCTCTCAGCAGTTCATAGAAACAATAGAATGATGGTCACCAGGGGCTAAGGGGAGGCAGAAAGGGAGATAAATGATCAAAAGGTTCAACTTTTTAGTTATGAAATAAATAAGTTCTAGAGACTTAATGTATAGCATAGTGACTACAGATAATAATAATGCTTGAATTTTTTGAGGTAGTTCTCAACACATACATGTGTGCACGCACACACAGGTAACCAC